TTTTACTGGGAAATAACTTCACACACCCTAACTGGAGTTACTCATTGCTATTAAAAAAGCCCCATCATTGCCAAGTGTTATTAGCACCATGAAATACAATGCTCTGGCCTCTTAGTAAGGTGCAGTAAGTGAGATAAAAAGTAGCATGAAGGCACTTGACACCAACTAAGTTTCATACAGTAGTTTCACTCTAGTAAAAAGGATACAATAATAAAAAACAGACTGATAACTTAAAACACTCTAAATTTGGCAAGGAAACTTAGTTAAGACCAAAGCAGTGTTACAGAACAACCTGTAAGTGTGTACAAACATGGAAAAAGTTCACTTATCTTGATGCTATAAGCTAAATCCAGACACAGTCAGGTGCTGAGCATTATTCCTAGCTTCAAAGTAAGAGGTATCAGTCTCATCATCCGGCTGAGGTATAAACGGCATAGTTTGATTCTGTAGATTATCCCAGTCCACACCATGAAAGAGGGGGTGATGTTTCAGTTCTGAAACAGAAATTCATATAAGCATATAGAAATTCATAAAAGCAAATAGAAAAAATAGGACAGGTAAAGAAATGTTTAAAAGAAAATCATATTTAGAAGGAGGTGGCAGTTTGACCAAGACAGACAGACACTACAAATTTTAATTCTCAGCACTTATCACTGTCTATGAGCTAAAAGCCCGTAAGACATTAACATTTGTTTATTATTTTTGCATTTCCTGATCAAATAATATAACACAATATCAAAGTTTACTTTATACAAAAAGCGATAAAATTAGAGGGTTAGTCTTCTAACTCCTTCTAATAGCTTCAGCAACCATGCATGCAGCAGGACACTGCACAGATCCACTGTCGCAGAACTGTATGTAGATGGGCTCTTAAGAAAGTTCTCCTGTGCTGAAAGCTGTCTTCAGCTGGGAAGGTGAGCAGACTTCATTGTCTTTTCCAAAGCAGTATTAATGTGTACCACAGCTGGCAGTCAGCTTCTGCCCCTGTCTCTGAAGAGGGGGGGGTAAAAAACAAACTCAAGCTTTGCATACCGGTGTTCTCTGCCAAATGCTGCTTTAAAGCTTCTCTTATCTGGAAAGACTGTGCTCACAGAAGCTCAGTACTAGGACATAACATAACTGGGATTTCTCAATAAGTTAGGCTTTACACTGGACAAAGAGGGAGTGCATGTGTGTTGGGGAGAGCAGAGAAGATGACAGTGACAGAAATTCAGTTACAGGGAGGAAAACCATTAAGTTATCCTGAAAGCTACTCATCCAGCTTCTCTTCTGTGGCCTATAAATTGGATAAAGACATCAGATACAGGTAGAGGCCCTGACAAAGAATGATTTTCCCGGAGCTTCAGATTGGAAGCAACCTTTATGTCATCTAGTTTAAATTTCTATGCATGCAGGCAATTTGATTGCACCCTAATATCCAGGAATAAAGACAGTAACTTGTGTTTTAGTTAAACACCTTCAAATTAAGACATTAGATGCTTTTTGGGAGACATTAAAGAGCCAAAGAATTCCCTGTTGACATCATGATCTTTATTTATCACTGTGGGACCTCTCTAATTTGATTTGGCCTGGTTTTACCTTCTAGTTTTTAGTCTCTTCACCAGTAAATTTCCTTTCCACTAGAAATCTAGTAATTTCTTGGGCAGTTTTCTCATAAGACCTCTTCTTCTTTTTCTAAGACATCTCTCAGCTTCCTTTATGTTATCAGTTTGGATTTTTTTTATTTTATAAAATATAGTCACTGTTACAACAGCAAATGTTTAAGTCCTTCTAAAAGGGAAAAAATTATATAGACTTTGGTATATATTGTCTAACTCTGTGTTCCCTTATACATTCAGTAAAGACAGGCTAATTACTAAGAAAAAGCTCCTTTGAATTAACTTTTGTAGGGGGCTTCTCTCCCAAACCATAGGCTTTTAATCAAGGTTCCTAAAATCAGTTAGGTCAAAAAAACCTCAAATACCTGTTACTGAGTTAGATAAGAGTGAACCTTGCTATGTCAAATGTCAAACACTAAACATCCATAGCAAAACAGCATTAAAGCAAAACAAAAGTTCAATTAAAAAACCCAAAAGAAAACATTCCATCCCCAAAAATTTCCTCTTTCAAAAGCACAAAATCCCACAAGAAATACAGAAAATACCACAACTTGTTAAGCCTTCAGGCACTATACATGGTACCTAAAGAGACATTAAAGTTTATTAGTCAGAGTTTCAGGAGGAGAACATCACCACTTTGAAATTTTTAATTAGTTGCAAAAAACACAAGAGAATTTTAACACTAACCCTTCAGTCCAGCTCTCTTAGTACTGTCAATTGTTAGAAGAATATCTATTGCATTTTGGGCATTATCAGACAGCTTTTCTTCACCCTCAGGCCAGGGAATATCTACAGACAAAGATGCAGATGAGTCAGTAACTCAAATCATAAAACAAATGTTGGAAATGCATACTTTCCCTGATTACTGAAGCAGATTACCTCTTTTCAAAATATTTTGGAAGACTTGTGCTGGTGTTTCATCATTAAAAGGTGGAATTCCAGTTAGAAACTCAAACAGACAAACTCCAAGGGCCCACCAGTCTACAGCAGAACCTGATAAGAGAAATCCAGGTCATTACACTAACACAAAGGTTTAACGATATTTGCACAGATTTGAAGATTAGCCATGGCAGAAATTGAAGCAGGTTTAAGTCCTGCAAAATTTATTGGAAGTGAAGGAAGAGACAAAATAAGTTGTACTTAATAATCATGCAGAAGATTAAAAGTCTATTTAAGGGCTTTTTAAAGCCAGTCTGCTCCTCAATTCATTATAGATAGTAGTGTGGTATAAAAGCAAGGGGGCTCTTAAGAACAATATCAACTCCCATCACAGAGAAGTCAGCTCCTGGATTCTCTAAAAGACTGCTTTGTGATAAGAAACAGTTGTCTTTAACAACTGCTCTAGAGCCTGGATGAATGCTCCATGTTGTAACCCGTATCTTTCTCTCAGTTCTTTGAGAAGACTCCAAGAATTCAAACTATTGAACTTAGTTTTCATGTGTCTAAACTTAGGTCAAAATATTGAAAGACAGCTTGCAGAGATGAGCCAGCATGCAAGAAGCTGGAATTACTCTCCATCACACTACAGTTGATTAGGGCAATGCACAGTTACTAGCTCTCTCTCCTTTGTTATTAAATAATTTTGGTTTTCCACATTCCAGGTTTGGGGTTTTTTTTGCCAAACTCATCTTATTAACCCACTTAAAAATAAGCAGGCAAAGCAATCCCAGACAGCACTGCATGCATTTTAAGCTTTCTGCATCTTTAAGCAATGCCCACTCCACTGTATAAAGAATAGATCACACTTGCTGAAAAAAAAATACTTCAAAGAGACTAAGTGTCATTTTTCTTGGGTTTTTTGGCATATAAAAAAAAAAAATTAAGACACCTCCAAGTTACAAAAACAAATTTTTTGAGCCATTTCAGAAGGACTATTGACCGAGTTCAGAAATGCTGAAAACTGAAATGTGTAACTAGTAATCTAATGCACTTCTAGCAACTTTTAATAGCAGTAAGAGTGCCCCACCAAGCTAAGCATATCATAGCAGTGAGATCACATCCACTGTTATTAGAGCTACTTGGATGTTCAGCTAAAATATTCCCAGCTTCAGTCAAAGTCTAATAAGATCACAACTCTGAAGAATGTAGTAACACAGGTTTCAGCAGCAGTTTTTCACAGCCAAAGTGTAACTAAAGATTAGATTAACTCCTACCATATCCCTGCTAAATCACATCTACCAGTATTTGAAGCAAGAAACAGAAGTACCAGGTTTTGAGCATCTGAGCCTTCTTCACCCATACACAAAGTAATTCAGACTGATCCCATAAAAAGGAAGCAATGATAAAAAGTGTCTCTGGTTTATCTCCCATTACACAATGTCTTTAAGAATGCTGACTTTACTCCTGAAGTACAGGCTTATGTGTGTGACTTCCAATAACCTAGTCACAGTGATACTGACATTTCCCGAATCTTTTGTGGAAGCACTACACATTCTTATGTGGGGTGCATATTGGACATATCTTTCGATATAGAAACATTGGTCACCCAAACAATTTTATTGGAAATGGTGATCTAGTTATACTTTGACTATTCAGTTATGCTGAACACTCCATTTCCGCACATTATATAGCAAACTCACCAGAGATCAGAATCCCTGCATATGAAAAGACAATGAAGCAAGAACATTACAATTATTGCAAAAACACTCTAACAAATATAAACATCAAATATCACATGATTCTCTGAAGGCATAGGAAAGCAGACTTTTTTTAAGGAAGTAGCTCAACAATAACTAAAGATGGCAATGTTAAATCTAAGTTAGAAACACAAAAATAGTTTTGTAACATGATTATAGTTTAGGATTGCAACTACATTTACAAGCAAGTTAACACCAGAAATAGTTCATGAGGAAGAGTGAGTTCCAAAGCCAGAACTCCCCTCCCTCCCTCAAGAATCTTCACGGACACTCAGGATGACAAAGTTGTGATTCCTAAGGCACACACAAGTCTCAGGCACAGCTTCCAAAGCATTAGATTAGCAGCAGACAAGATTATGCTCAACAGTCAAAACTTCCACTCATGGGAAAAAGTAAGCGGAAGGAGCAGCTGAAGCAAACACAACCATCCATGTTGGCAAAAGCTAAGCACTAGGTATTTTTAAAGAATTTACTGTTGTATTAAAGGTTTTACAGCTCTAGAGACATTTAGAAATGTCAATATGTCACCTTTCAAGTATTTACAAACTCCATGGTTAGTTTGTCTTACCGTGAGGCTTTGTCAAAAGCAGCTCAGGTGCCAGGTAGTCTGGAGTTCCTAGGATGCGTTCACCTTCTACTGGGGCAGCTCCTCTTCTTACACTCTTTGGAGTCCTATACGGTGTGCCAGCATCTCCCTGACGAGGTGTCTTAAAAGGCGCAACAAGGATTTCAGATGTCAAACAAAACCAGAAGAGAAATTCCCATCTCCAGGTTTAGTAATGGGTGTAACAGTTGATACTTAAGTTGAAGTCAAGAACATGTCACAAAATGCACATTCCCTGGAAAAGTATGTGTGAAATGTGCTTCCATTTCTTTATCTCAACCATCTTGAAGCATAAAAACTTAATTTATATCTACTCTTTAAGACACTTTTCCCTAAGTTCTTCCTCCAGTGTCAAATTCACAAGTAATGTCTCCAAAACCAACGAAACCAACCAATCTTAAACTCCTCTTTCAAATTCAAATCTGAAGATAACCTACTAGACAGAATGTCAAAATAGCCTTCAATTTTAGCACTGAGTTCTTAATATTAGCCAATGAAAAAGCAAGTGTATATGTCAAATACCAGTAAAATAAAAAGGAGAATCCTGAATTGTCTCACATATTGCACACCAGATATACTCAAAATACATTAAATGAGCCGTTTATTGTTTAACCTGCATCCTATGGTGATAAAGTTCTGCTCAAGTTAGACTTAGTGACTGTTTACAGCTACACAAGCCTTCTAAAAGTAATTTGGGACATTATTTGAAGACATAATACACAGGCTTGCAAAGAGATCAATAAATTCTCATAGCCAATGACTGCGATGACCTGGAGATACTACTACATTATCTTGCAGAGACTCTCCTTTATGTTTCAATATACCCATATATCTTGTATAATTTTGTTTCCAACTTCCTCTTCAGTGCAGCAGAGATCAATTTGTTATCACTATGCCATAAAGGCTACAGAATCCACTATTAAAATAGAAAACACGTAATCAGGTCACAATGATCGAGTTTTAAAAGGATCACAAAAGTATACAGAAAAGGTCCTGTTCAAATCTAAGCTACAAAAACATAATGCCATCAGTCATTTATTTCTCAGGAGATAAGATTCTACTCAGCTTTCATTCAGCTGAAATGGAGTCAAAGTTTCATAGTCAATTAAAATTTTATGCAGATATAACAGAAGCTAGCAGTTCAAAGACATCAGGAAAAAAGGCTTTCCCCCCAAAAATAAACATATTAAAATGTCAGCTTTTGGTACACCAAATCATTCAACACATTGCGAATTCTGTCAGAAAGCTTTAAATCTTACAACTAGAACTTAAGCAACTAGATGAAGGTCTTGTAAAGCTATGCCAGAACAAAATGGGAAACACTGATTGAGAAGTATACTTTTCCTCACATCAGGGCCCTAATGTATGTTTGGACAGTAAGATTTTTACTTACTATCAGAAGATTAAAAAGGTTAAAGCAAATCTTCATAACCTGCAAGCAGCTATTACTGTTTACATCAGCCTTTGTAATAGGCACTTGACAGTACACATTACACCATCTCTTTTACCAGGATGAAAAGAGAAAGTGGCAGACACAATAGCAGTTACTAGCAGCTGAACAGCATTTGCAGACCATCTTGGGAGGGATGCAAGGTAAAAAGTTAAAAAAAATAAAATCAAGGGCTTCCCATTACATCAGGAAACCTATAATGACTTACAGGAAGTACCACACTGCACTAAAAGTAGGATGAGACAAGATAGCACAGGCTTTCTTTACCAGTTCACTGTAAGAGCAAAGGATTTCCCAGAAAGGTGGGCAGAAAATGTACATTGAGCCAGAGGCAAACCAGTGGACATACAGATATTGCTAAGCTCTTACAGAAGTTATTTTGGCCACACAAGTGCAATAAGTGAAGCAAACACAGCCATCCATGTTGACAAAAACTGAGCACTAGGTATTTTTAAAGAATTATCTGTTGTATTACTTAAAGGGTTTAGAGTTCTAGAGACATTTAGAAATGTAAACATGTCACCTTTCAAGTACTTACAAACTCCACGGTTGGTTGGAGCAGCAAAGGTCACTTTGACAGAGAGACTACCTCAAACTACTTCAATTTTCCCTAAATTAACAACTGAAACAATTTCAGAGCATTAATGTCTAACGCATGCACAAAGTTTCTGCATGTCTCCTTACATACCTGATAGACCCTATAAGGTCTTCCTTTCTGTAACGGAGTAATAGCTGTTGGGTAAGAGCCACTACAAGCAGGTGAAAGATCCATGACATCTAAGGAAGCCATGCTACATGGCTCAGATACATTGGATATATTAATTGGACTATTATAACTTCGAAAAACAACAGCATTCTTTTTAAAGAGATTCAGTGCTTCCATCATATTTTCTGAAGGAGAAGATACTGTGTCAAGATAAGTTCCTTTCATGTGCGTTTGGTCATTATCCTTTTCATGATGTAACGGCTTGCAGTCCTGGAGAGTACGTGTTTCCTTTCCATCTTGTGAGGCATCTCGGGACTCTGGTGATGTTATTACTATGCCTTCTGGTTTTGGCTCCTCAAAGGAGAGGTCTTTAACGCTTTTGTCCAAATCTAAAAGCTGCTTTTCTAAATGGCTTTCTGTAACAGATATTTCAGGAAATAAGTCAGAATCTGCACTGAGGATTCCTAAAGGTTTTTCATCATCAGTGCCCAAAAAACTTGAGTTCATATACTCCTTTTTGTCATCCTTTTCATAGTCTGCATCCAGATCACACATAAGATTTTTGGCTATCATTGGAGTAAGTGATTTTTCTACTGTTTGCTGATTACCAATAAAACTCCTAACTTCTTCCTTGCTTTTGCAGGTGTCACGCAAGCATCCATCATCACAAAGCATTAAGGATTGAATTTCCGTTGTCAAACCTGACCTTTTGTTTGCTGGAAATTCTGAGATCTGACAGCCACGTTTATATTCTGCATTGCTTTTTTTAACATAGTTAAGTTCCTGACAAGGACTAGTGTCAACTAATTCAAAGGTTCTTTTTACACCTGGCTTTTCAAAAATTTCCTCCTCTTGGATAGGCTTGACAGGCTCATTCTGCCTCGAAAGTGACTGTTGTTGATTGGAAGTTTCTGCTGTTTCATTAATCATATCTCTTTTATTTGTGAAGAATTTTTCTTCCCAAACCTTATTTTCAGAAAGACATTTTCTGACTAAGCCTTTCGCATCCAGTGTGGTCACAGGAGTATCTGTTATATCAGGATGTTCACTTCCCAACTTCTGCTTACTGCCAGAATCATTGCTGCCGATGGGAGAAATGACAGATTCCAGTTCTTTTTTCTTTAAAACTTCAATATCTTTGCTATTCAGCAATTCTACATTTGAAAGGAGAGGCGACCCACTGTTACTTGTTTTGCCTGTTGTAGAACATAGTTCATCTTCACTTTGCTGCAAATGAGCACATTAAGCTTTGAGTATAAAGAAAAATAGGATTACAGTATTCTAGAAATGTGTCCTTTAAAATACCTTATTTCCACTTCCATAAAAACCTGCAAATTTGCAAGCACTACTTATTCTTTATAACCACTAATAGTGACAAACCTGACATAACACATTCAAAAAAATCCAAAACTAAGTTAGGGATAATTTGACTTTAACAACATGAAATAAGCTTCCTAGAATACAATAGAAAATGCAGTATTTTTAAATGCTTAAGGATGAAAAAAATATAGAAGTTAAAGTTGTATTTGTGATTTTATGTTAAGAAGTTAAGCTACAAAAGTTCTCAGTTTCCAAGAAACCTCAAACCAAAGAACCTCATCATTCTACCCTGTGGCATATTATACTTCAGAGATGCCAAATGGAAAATCTGATATTACTAGTATTTTGGTAACACAATACTAAAAGCTAGACCTTGGGAAATATACAGACAAAACAAATAATTATAAATTATTTTAAACATAAGTTTTTGTGTGAGATCTAAATAGGAATCATGGCAAGAGACTAAGTAGCACAGCAGCATTTTCTTTTAGGTCTGTATTTGTACAGAATTTCATTTACAGTTTAAAATAGGAGAAAGTATTTTGGATCAGCTATAACTACTGGTGTTAGGTTAGTTGATACAAAACCCTTCAGTAATGAAAACCTTAATCATTTGCAGCTTTTAATAGCTAGTAGAAGTTTGAAGTGTATTTTGGTTATTATTTTTCCCCCAAGTTCTGTGTTTCAAAGAAATACTTTTGGTCTGCATGCTGAGCTAGTAAAACTATAGGGACAAGGTCAGCTTCCAAAGACCCAGTGCTCCCAGCATTGCCCACCAGGTGAAGAATAGGGCTAAACCAGTGCTGTGCAGTACAGGCCTTCTCTTTCACTCTTTGCTGCAGGCTAAATGGCATTTGCTTTTCCTGTTATGTTGCACAAGACTACTATTTGTCTGAAGAAAAAAATACTAGTTTGATCCAAAACTTCTCCGCAAGGATTACACCCCCTGCTCCTTCTTCTGTAGGAAGGCTTCTCTACACTTGGAGCAACTGGGTGAAGTAAGTAGAGGAGATCAGCAACAGTGTATATACAAGTACAAGCCAATTTTAATTTACAGTGGGAAGATGAAACAGTCCTGACCTCTACATCTTTCTCCCACCTGGGGCTGCTGCTGCATTCTGATTCCATACTGGACAAGTATGTGTGTGACCGACTACCAGCACTGGAGGTACCAAACCTTTTTCTTGACTGAAGTAGAGTAGGAGTTAAACTTCTCACTGGCATCACAGGAGTTAATTGAGAAGTATCAAGACCTTGCGGGGGAAAAAAAGCAATTCAAATGTTGATACAAATAGGCAACATATATTAACCAACTTCACACTATGTCAGGCTTTCACATCTAAGGAAGTTATAGAAAGCTATGCATGACATCACAATTTCTCTTGTCGTTTTTCCTGCATAGTCAATTCACTCATTTTTTGAAGTAGGGACTTGCCAAGAATACAAAAGCAAGACAAACATTAGCACCATAACAACCTTTCTCATTTCAGATTAAAAGTGAGAAAACAACAAGATAAGACAATTCAAATGAAAACACACTTTGCTATATTAAATCATTTTCAATGAAAGTACACAAAGAACTGACACTATTTCTGAAAAATCTTAAAGGGTCATCTTGAATTCATTTGAAAAAAAAAATAAAAATCAAAAGATAACATAAGTAGCGTAGGTAAAAAAATATGTCAGACCTTAAGTACCGGAAGAACAGTAGACAGCAAGACACTGGTGGAAGCACACCTTTTATCAACTGGGTCCAAGCTACTCACAGAAAATTAAAAGACCACAACCTTACAGCCAGAGTATTACTCAGTACAAGGCTTAGTATACTCACAGGTTTTGAATAATTTAGTTGAAAGAGGGGTATTTTCCTTTTGGACCACAGGTAAGGGAGAAACCACACCATGCAGACTTTCAGATGATGGACTTGAATTGTGCTCTGGCATTTTCATTCCAAGAGGAGTATACTATCAAGCAGAAAGAGCTTAGTTAACAGAGCCTGAACAAAACACCCAGGATTGAGAGCGTAACTTTACACATTCTTTATTACATTCACATTGGAGCTTAGCCATGCCCATTTACCAAATTTTTTGAAGCACAACTGATAGTAAGCCATTTGAAATATAATCCAAGGTGATCACTTCAGAACTTCAAGGTACTGGAAACATATAATAAGTCATTCTATCAGCTGGAAGAAGAGGTGCAAGAATAGCCTTATAACTCCTATTATTACATTTAAGATAGTCAGTAAACTAAAAGAATGAAGTCATTCAAAGACAGTGGACGTTACTCACAAAACCCAGAGAACTGATGAGGGACAACAATTGTCCTGGAGTACGCGAGTAGTCTTGTTTTGGCTTTGCCATTGATGGTGTAGTAAGAATATCTATCATATTTATCTCTAAAAACAGACAAAAAAAAAGGAGGCAGGTCAGGTTTTCCTTTTGCTATTAAATAAACAGTATCACAGGCATCTATTTAAGTTTTATCAAGAAGGAAAGAATATAGTCACATACTGAACAAATATACAAAAGAAGCCACCAAACCCAAGTGAAGACACACCTATACATTTCTATTCAATACAAGCTGTTTCTTCCTGTACATCCATCATAACATTACAGTTTATAAATACAGTAACTGTAAAAGTCCAATTTCTTTTCCACCATACTATGTTGGAAGTATTGGTTTCTAACTTGAGATCAACTTTAGTTTTTAGGTAGCAAATACAGCCTATGGCCTGTGGGCTAAGATGGTAAATTTGATTCAAAGCCTTCCTTCTCTCCCAAAGACATCTCAAAAGCTACAGACAAATTTTTCATAGCTGAAAATGTAACCTTATATGCCGTCTTTGGCTCACTAGAGTAGGCTTATAAGCTTACATATCATATTCAACTAGACACAATAATCTGTCCCACCAGAACCTATCAATTAAAGCAGTATATTATAGAAAGAACAGTATACTTGGGGTTTTCCCCTCTACTCTTAAAAACATGAATCAAGCTTCATGGACAGCTCTGAATTTCTACATTCCTTTAACTATACAAAAAGTATCCGCCAGCAGCTGTCTCAAAAAACTACAGTGATACTGTACAGCATTAGTTCGGCTGATACAGCTAAGCAGTTAGAGGTACAAACTAGTTCAGGAATTGACTATTCACCTTAAGACCTGCAGCGTGTGCCAAACAGTCATTCGACTATTCAGCTATATTCTCTGCTACTTGAAAACAGCATGTTCATATGCTAAGGCACTGATTTATAATACTCTGTTAGGGACTCGCCACCTCCCCCTATCCCTCACATTAATGTCTGGAGAGTCCCAGTTCAGGCTGGAAATTACTGTCTACAAGGACTGAGACACATGAACTGAAAGACAGAAATAGCCAGAGGTATACCAAGAAAAAGTCAGAATTAATCATTCATCCGTTGCATTCTCTTGGTGGACTTAACAGAAAACTTCGAAATCCACACTCGTCAAGAGAAAAGGCTCTAGATCATATTTCATACACCCTTGTCCCAAAGAATAAATATTTTGGCTTCTGAAGTGCAATGCATAGAGCAGAGCCTTTACTAGCATGTACCTTATCAGTACTTACCTATTAGAAATCAGATATTAGTGCAACACTTGAGCTTATTTGATTAAAAGCTGCCCTCAATGGGGATGTAAACCGTTCAAGAATATGGGAATGTGACACAAAAGTACATTCCAATACAACCAAAAGGATACAGACAACTCTTACCTCTGTTCAGGGTAACTCTGGAAAGCCCAAAGTCTGTCAACTTTATATGGCCCTGATTAGAAATGAGCATGTTGTCTGGCTTCAGATCCCTAAAGACATAAATATAGTTGAAGTCAGCAAAAAGACAACTGAACAATATTAAGAAAGTTACCTGACCAAAAACATTCAATACTAAACACCAATTACGGCTGTTTCTCAGTAACATCTCTTAGCCAGCAGAAGATTCCAACTGGAGGAATGTGCCAAAACAATTAAACATATCTAGCACTAAATATTGTACAAACGTCTCAGGCCTTGTAAAACCACCATGCATGTCACAAGAGTTGCACATTTTGTGTTTCAGCAGGTTTAACAAGTGTTCTTGGTGAGTACTACCATCACATTAACCAACGTATAGCCCCTGCACATGATAGTACATGTGACAAGCAAACCTCTCATAAGTTTTCCCCTTTTGTTCTCTATGACACTACTGAATGCAGCAAAGAACTCTCACTACAGGGAGAGCATTAGAGTTATCAGTGTCCCTTTGTCCTACAGTTACATGCTCGCAGTATCCAGACAGTTCCTGAACTAACAGTCATTATTTAAAAGCCATAGGGAGAGGGGTCCTGGAAGGCAGCATAGCTGTCAATACACCACTGTACTGGGTGAGAGCACACAGGCAGGGGAAAGCAGTGTATATTTGTCTGCTTGACATATATGGACAGATTTTATTTTAGGTGTTGTTTCATGACATTGCTGCAATGTACACATGCAAAAAGAGCTTCCAGAAGCTCTAGCAAATGAGGTAGCTGTTACTACGAAATGGTGACTGGGTATGCATTTGAAATAAAAGTTAAAAACCCAACTACCAAATACCTGTTTGTAAGGAAAAAAAAGAGTAGCTTTTACCTGTGGATTATCCCATGCCTGTGAAGATAGTCAAGAGCCAATGCTGCTTCAGAAATGTACTTAACAGCCATTTCTTCATCAAAATATCCATAAATATGGAGAAGAGATTTGACATCTCCACCAATAAGGTACTCCATCACCTGCCATTCAAGTATTTTAAGTTTAACATTTTAAAACACATTTCAAATTTGCAAGTAAAATATAAGATAGCTTCCACCCCTAGCAAAGTATAATTTCAAATAGTGGAAGCTGATAGAAGCTTCCTTATGTGAACTTCATTTCCCACACAATACTTTTCACTTGGATAAAATAATTAAAGCTTCAGATGACAGAAGACATGAAACTTCTTTTAATGGGCCATTTATTTATTTTATATTCTTTGCCTGGCCTACTTTCTGTAGCCAGCTCTCAAATAACTACTGTAGTCAGCTTTTTAATTAACTTCTGAAAGATTTCCATACCATAGAAAATAAATTGCAAAGCATTTCCGTGAAACTCAAGGCCTGAAGCCCAAGACAACTAATATTTTGATTAGTATAGAACAGGTATCTCAATGATTTTATTCTGCAAGTGTTTATACACAATACTAAATTCACACCTGAGCCTTGTGAAATGAATGCAAATTTCCAGAAACATATACAGTGAGAGCTACTATGCATTTAAAACATGAAAAAGTGTTTAAAGAGATACATGCATCTAAAAAAAATATGCAAACCCACACGTTATCATGGCCCATGTCATATGCAAGAAAAAAAAAAAAGGAAAAGTCAGCAGGGTTTCAGAAACTCACTCTTCAATGACAAGAATCAATTTATGGGGTTTTAGTCAAGAAATCTCACCAGTACTTAAATTCCAATACACAATACTATTCCACGTATATGACTAGCACCTCCTTTACAAATCCTTCACCCTGAACTCCTCTATTCCACGCAGCAGTTGACAGAGATTCCAGGAAAAGCAGCCTTTGTTTACACTCAAAATGCATTGTAGGAGTACATAGCAATCTCGCCTCAGAATTTAATTAAGCTGTTCACAGTGTGTGCTTACAGCAAGTCAGACAAATTACACCAGACCCTTTGTAGACAGTTGTAATCCATACCACTTCAATGTGGAGGTGGTATATAAAACCATATTCAAGTCCTACTGTACTCCACAGTGCTCCATGTGAACTAGCACTTAACTTTGCCACTCAGTAATCCTCTCATCATCTAGGCCAACTACCATAATGAATTTTGAGCACACATAAAAGGAAATCTGTTTTACTTCTTAAGTGAGCCACAGGATATCTTTCAGTCACTTGGATTCTGCTTGAATAGAATGGTTTCTTGTTTTCCCTAAGATTTCTACATATTCCTAAAACAGATTAGTTGTTAGAAAAGATTCTCCTGTAATAAAAGGGAACGCATCTCAAAGGTACCAGGGAAGAGTTCAACCATTTGAGAAAGAAGAAAGTAAACGTGACTAAGAAATACCCACTCACTACCATCAAAATATGTTTTCAGGCATTAATATAGTTCTGCACTCCATTTTCCACACCATCACAAAACACCATAGCCATTTATTTACTCACTAAATAGACGTTATTAGCTGATTGAAGTGAGTAGTATAAGTGCACAATGAAAGGACTTTTACTGAGAGCCAACGCATCCCTCTCTGCCTGGACCTGGTGAACCATGTTTTTGTTGATCATGTCTGCTTTTTTCATCACCTGAAAAAACAAAATAAAATCAAGTAGACAAACATTCTTTTCTTTGCTCAACCCACAGTTCTTTAGTCAATTCATTTATCTCTATACTTCAAACTTGCATACATATAAAAGAGAGGTGTAACTTCATATGCTGACAGAGTTTTAAAACACAGGTTATTAGAGAACCTTTTTCATCACTCTCTTCCTAATTCAGTACTTAATGGAAATCACACTACCAATATTTACTGCAATTGTACACACTGGAAAACGAGTGTTTAGGCTGTATCTATAATTAAGCTGCCCTGAGTTAATCCTCTTATCCACAGTACACAACTCAACCAGGAAAAAGTGTTCAATGCTTAGACAAACACTTGCTGACTAAGTCTTTCCATCTCTTCAGAGGCCGAAATATATGGCCTGAGAATAGAAAACAGGGTGCAGCAGTAAGCCATCCCATCTTGGTGTCCACAAGTGCAAGACTGCAACTACTCCAGCCTCTAATTCGTAACTTCTCAAAGAAAGCAAGTGAATTTTTGCTTAACTTAAAATTTACAATCCAGTCACCAACAAATATTGGTTTCCTCGGGAAGAAGCCTCAAAGGCATGCAACTCACAATGGAGAAATAACAAGCTTAACTGTGAATTAGGCTCCAATTCCTGTATTGAATTAGTCCAGTATATGTTGATGCCTACTCAATATTAATCTTGGATAGAAGATGCATGGTAGCACAGCTGACAGGTATTTAGGCAAGAATTGCATACACATTGGAAGTTTGCCCAGCTTCAACATCTTTGGTCTAGATAGGTACGGTGATATTAAAGCAAGTTTAATTTATCGATTTTTTATGCAACACAACTGTAAGAAGTTGAGTCTACAGCTACCACCACCATTCAATAATAGAATTTGCTACATATAAAATAGCAAGACAGAAGTGTAATTTGATACCTTCTATGTAAGTGTCAAACTCAAGAGTAAAAATATTTAGCATATGTTAAATTCAGTAGCTTGAATAATCCGTAAGTCCCACTGCAACAGGGATAAAGATTTACACAAAAGCTTTTAGGTCACAATACTTTCAATAAGCTTCCGTAAGATACTAAAGTAACACAAATGAACCACTCTTATGTGCAGCACCTAAACTGTTGAAATTTAGTCTCCACAGCTACCATTACTATTATCAAAGTTGATACAAAACAAATTTCCAAGACATACACAAAATGGATAGAACAACACTTAATGTTAACCTTAACTGTACAAATATTGAGCATGTTTTAGATGTTGTAGCTGTGAGCAATCCATAAAGTTCACTGCAATAGTGATAAAGGATTTACACAGAAGCTTCCACCTCAAAGTGCTTATAATAAAATTGTGTAAATATATGCACACACCTCTGAACAGCAATGTTTATTTTGCATGACTGTTTTTACATTTCCTTTTCTTTGTTTACTATGCAGGTGGTTATAATCCTTTTAATTACAAAGTCAGGCTTGCACAAACCAGTAAATTTTACTACTGACAAGCCTGCTTTTTAGTCTTTGTGTATCTACATAGAAAGTGCAGCCTGTTTTAAAAAAAAAAATAGACTCAGCAAAAATTCTTTTAATAATTTGCTCTCTTTATACATCTCAGAGGCAGAGTTTTCATTCAGGGACAAATGGGAGAACACCCTCCCAGTGGCATGACAGCTGAACGTATTCAGTTATAACAAGTATTTGCAAGCGCGAAGCAAACAGCACGCTGACACTTTGGAAGGCTTTTGGCATAGTTTCCTCGACATTCAAGGTACTTCTAAAAGCAGTCGTCGCTATCAGACGCCTCCTAACCAAAGGAACAGGAACGCGAAGAGAAAGCTAAACAAACACAGTCATGAGGACAACGCCTCTCCCAGGCTCCTATCAGAAGGGCGACAGCGCTCCAACACCCCATGGGCCGGAGGGTCCGATGGCGGGGCATCCCCGAGGCCCACCGGGAGAGGCCTCCGCGGGGCGCCTCCCCCGTCCCGCGGGGCGCCCCTTTCCCACACGGCGCCAAACGAAAGCGGAGGGCGGCAGCGCAGCGACAGCGGGCACCCGAGGAAGGGCAGGCGGCCCCGGCCCGGCGGGCACCTCACCTTCACGGCGTAGAGCCTGTCGGCCTTGCGGCCCAGATACACCTTCCCGAAGGCGCCGCGGCTGATGGGCTTCACGATGGTGAACTCCTCGATGGAGGGGGGCCGGGGAACCTCGATGCACCTCGGGCCGGCAGAGGTGGTGGTGGCGGCGGCGGCAGTACTGCCCCCCTCCC